GATGAGCCTTCACCGTCCGCCTGAAACCTTAACCCCTCTTTCAACGGTTAAACCCCTCCGTCTCTGCTGCCATTCTTACTCTCCACAACCTCAAAGCCTCACCCTCCCGATATGGTGAGCAAAAGGCAGAAATTAGCTCGGAAGAGATAGAAAGAGGAACACCCAGAACTGTTTCCAAAACCAGAGCCAAAAGACCCAAATGAAAAGAAGAAGAAGAGCAAGTTCAAGCGAAAGAAGGCAGAATGTAAAGAACCAAAAGACCCCAATAAACCCATTAAGAAAGGGATCAAAAGACACCCACTTAGAGTCCCTGGCATGAAGCCTGATGAGAGATGTTTTATATGCAAAGCCAAGGACTATATCGCCAAGAATTGCCCTCAGAAAGCTCAGTGGGAGAAGAATAAGTTTTGTTCTGTTCCATGATTTTCAGTTTTGTGCACATGTTATGTTTTGTGGGGTCTGTATTTCTGGCACCATAATAGTCATGCAAAAGTTGGTTCTGCTTGGAACTCAAAAGTTAATTTTTGTTATTTCAGAAGATGCTGAATTTGACAAGGTAATGAAAGTTGGGGATTGTTGGTTTGCTTGTTTGCTTGTTGTGTGGAGAAAACTGAAAATGGTGCTATTGTTGTTTCTTATGGGATACTTGCAGATATGTTTGCTTTGCCGACAACGAGGGCGTAGTCTCAAGAACTGCCCTATCAAGAATGTGAGAATATGGATAAGAAGTTGTGCTATAGCTGCGGAGAAACTGGGCATTCACTTGCCAAATGTTCACAATCTCATCAAGACAGTACTTGGCCCTTTAGTTCAACTAAGAATGCTTTAATAGGATTCTATAAATATGACTACAGTTTTCTCTTGAAGAAAATTGGTGTAATTTGGTGCTGCATTTGCTGTTGTCTGTTTTTCTAGTGATTTGACGTGTCATAAGTGTAATGTAGTGGATTTTGCAAGTGTAAAATATACTAAAATTACCTCAGCAATTCACTTAAAAGTTTACATGAAAGTGTGGTTATATTTAAAGAATTGTCTGCAGAGTGAGTAATTATTATCTTAATAGGAAATGGCCCAAGCTAGAAAATTTGGTCTACAGATTGGCCTGCAATTAATTTGTACATACTGCCATCATTTTACAAGTTGGAAGTTCACGTTAGAATTTGTTGAAAATTTACTGAAGAAGTTACTGAATTAGGATCTCTCTTCCTCTCTCTTGCTAGTGTTTGTGTTTGCATTTGTACATCGGACAATCCCTACTTTGTTGATCCTTTTTTTTTTTTAACAACAGGGAACTTCAAGAAGGCAGGGCCACGGGGCCCTTTGGACCCATCCACCCCAACATCAGCCCAAGACCACTCAGCTCTTTGGCCTTACGTTGTTGATATATAAATCCATGTTTATGGAGTTAAAATCCATCAAAAGATCAAAACTCATTGCATATTTGAATGATCTTTTGTATATCTGTGTTTGAACTCCTCATCATTTGTTGCCATGAATGGTGATTATTATGTTCTGGCATTGTAGATGGAACTAAATTTGCACTATGCTTTATTTGTAATGAACATGGTCATTTGAGCAAGAATTGTCTACAAAATACTCATGGGATCTATCCAAAGGTACACCTATCCTTCGCCATCATTAGCTTGTTTGTTTAATCAGTGCAGAGTCTAGTATTGATAGGTTTAACCGTTGAAGGGCTTGCATATTGATAGGTTTAAGTGGAATGAGCTTTGTGATAGTGCTACACTTCATTAGCTGTTTTTTCTGTGCTGCTCTGCTCTTGTAATAGTGCTACACTTGATTCCTAATATAAGATAGAAACATGAGCTGTTTAGCTTGATTTTTTTACAAGTTATCTTCTTTATTAATTGTTGTTGATCAT